AACAATAATTGATAATCTATCAAAGAGCTTGTACAAAAACAATAATTGATAATCTATCAATGAAAGAGGTTGTGCAAAAACAATAATTGATAATCGATGAAAGAGCTTGTGCAAAAACAATAATTGATTATCTATCAATCAAAGAGCTTGTGCAATAATAATTAATTGTTCGATAAAGGTACTTTTAGGTATACAATTTAGTAAGAAAACTAGTTGTAAAGGACAATGTTCGCTGTCATCTTGACAACATCATTAGGTCTAATGAAAACTGTAAACTCTACTATATTAATTTCTATTTACTTAGTTTAATTTTCGATTGATTTCGTTTTGTTATTCATTTTCCCACCTAATTATACACGTTGAGCAGCCCCCTTCTATATGTAGCTACTTATGAAATAACTGTTATGATTCTCGCGTTCTGATTGGTCGAGAGCGCGTGCTTTATGAGAGCACACAGCACGCGCGCGCATTTTTAGTAGCGTCATTCCTATCTAAAATAACGGTTATTGTAATTTGTATTTTATAAAAGAAATCTCGCGTTCTCATTGGTTGAGAGCGCGTGCTTTATAAGAGCACAAAGCACGCGCGCGCACTTAGTAGCGTCATTCCTGTCTAAAATAGCGATTATTGTAATTTGTATTTTATAAAAGAAATCTCGCGTTCTCATTGGTTGAGAGCGCGTGCTTTATAAGAGCACAAAGCACGCGCGCGCACTTTTAGTAGCGTCATTCCTGTCTAAAATAACGATTATTGTAATTTGTGTTTTATAAAAGAAATAAAAAACTTTCGTGCTGTGCTGTGTGGAGTTATAAAGCACTTGGGGATTGGCAGAACACTCAAGAAGTGTCGAGAAGCACTCCGCTACGCGTCGTGCTTCTCCTAACACTTCTCTCGTGTTCTGCCAACCCCCGCGTGCTTTATAACTGCACACAGCACGCGCGCGCGTTTCCTATTTCTTCATTATTGAATGTTTATTTCAATTTTCAGTTCCCACATTAAGGACCCGCTCCATGTCTAGAACCAGCTCAGTTGGATCAACTGGCCGTAGTACATCTATGTCTGAAGATTAAACTATCAGGATTGATAGAAGTTTGTCAAATTGTTCCTTCGTTATAACCTCATTACCATTTGAATAAGTGGTAAACGGAAGGACAGATTAACTGGATGTTTGATGAAGGGTTTTCTGGGTATATATTTTGATTTTTATTGTAATTGAAAAATGATGTTTCTATATTAAATATAGTTTTCTTGACTCACTGGGAATCGGGGTGACTTTTTCTTACAAACCCAAACATTTTTTGCTATTCACAAGTGTTGGGAATTACCAGTGTGTCACATTGATAGTCCAGCATTGGTATTGGTCAGTGAATCATTCTTCATCTTTAAAATCTTCCCAGCAATTCATGGATAGTAGTACATAGCAGTTGTTGTATGAATAGGAAATATTCCGGGCTGACTTGCTGTACGACATGCCAAAACATTGAAATGGCTTAGACCTCGCCCACATGGATATTTTTGAAAATGGATCTTTATCTTCGTGGATTCGCCTTCCGTCCACACATATGCCGTTGAATACGCCACTTGAACATGAATCTTTTCCAAAAAATACCTGTGAACGAGCGAAAACAATTCGAAAACGCTACTCCTTGGACAAGAATTTTCTTGAAAAAGGAAAAAGAAAAAAAAAAAACGCTAGTTCGAAAATGTGATCTGCATACTTGTGGACGGTGCCGTATCGTTTTCCAAGTACGATTACGGTAATTACAACTTAGTACAGTAAGGCAACGAAGTTGTATTGTTTCCTGCTCGTGCAAAAAACTACTCTATTACTAGTGTATAAGTAAAAAGACACTCCAATGCATCTCCTCTTTAACCAGTTATGGCAAGAGGTAGAGAATTGAAGCAAGAGGGTGAACGTTATTATTTTACGATCTTGTTTAAAACAGCCCAACCTGGTAAAGCCTTTGAAAAGTTATGCTTGTTCCTCTATCTTCTGCTAAGTTTCTCTTTACTCAGTGATTAAAGGCACAAGTTCAGAACTTTTAAGCCCTATTTTTTTTTTGGTTAAAACATGAGTTTTTATACCTAGTTAAACCTGCAGTATGTTCTCAGGGTTGGGCAGCAAACAAGTATGTTAGTTATCATCATAGAAAAGTATACATATATAATTGACGAAACCTGTGAATTAGTTATGTAATTGTGTTTGTAGTGCTGTAGTTACATATGACCAGTACCTAATGCAAGATGATCTTTTTCTGAAAACTGTATACAAGACAATGTATTAATAAATTTTGCAGATATATTTTAGATATTTCTTATCTGAATTTCTTGTGATGTCACGATATACACTTAATGTCTGGTCACGAGGGAAATACTTTTGTTTTCCCGAGTGTCGATGTTTTACGAGGCGAAGCCGACTATCATTCATTGCTTGGAGCCTGGGCATTCGTCGAGCTGATCGTGGGCGTATTCATTATTTAACTCTGATGCATCAAGCTATCATTTATTGCTCGGGACCTGTGCATTTGTACCAGCTTGGAAATCGAGCTAGACTCGTTCAAACTGGTTGCTCGGCTTCCATTGGACAAATCGCTAACTTACGGGCGCTTACTCACTCGTGGACCAAAGAGTCGAGGGTGTCGAAGGAATGAGTTGGAGTCTATATTACCATCTCTATGAAGTGAAAAAAGTTGTCTAGCTTAGATGGACATTCTTTAGCCGCATGTTTAATTTGCTATGCTGCTTGATTTTAATCGAAAATTAAGTGGACCAAATTCTTCCTCTTCCCTCCTACCCCTCCCTCCCAATTCAAAAACTAAACTATTTCTACTTGGGTTGCCTGTGGTATACAGAATTTGCAAGTTTGATTCTTCTCGGTATAACTCAACGGCTTTCTTTTATTTAGTCTCCCCCACAGCCGCTTTCAGTGTCGTCACGCAACGCTTTCTCCCCTGAGTAGCGGCTGCTTACCCGAGCACGACATTCCTTTCCTATTGTTTGTGTTCAACCAATCAGATAAGTCTCATTGTGTTTCAAGAACCAATCAAAACGTTTCGAATTTGACAGCTTGTAAACATTCATGAGAGAAATAATTCTAAGACGCATTTGAGTGGAAGTTGGAGAAAATCTTTGGGAAATTGAAATTGAATTCGTTCTTGTTAAATGTTTAATGCCCCCCCCCCAAAGTTATTGGAGACGGAACTAAGTGTTTTCTTTGTTCATAAAGAAAGCAAACATTTATATTTTTATAAGTTTAGCTATCGACATTGTTTTATCGGCCGATAGTGAATTCGAGTTTGTACTTGCTATCGAACTAATGATCGTACCAAAATATTAGAAGCAAAAAGAAACTGGAAAACTTTTTTAAAAAGCGTAATTTAGACTCATGGAAGTTAAACGAGACGACTCARGATTTAAGAGATTGAATTCGAAAACAAAGTCTGAATTTTAATAAACGAAGAAGATGAGCCGCGCAGATCACTTATTTTAAACAACGAATGCAGTGTTAAGCTAAAGAAAATCGCAAAAAGGCTAGATAACTTTTAAATCTGACACTGTCACACCGTTGACTTCCACGGGTATTCATTGTAAACTTCTGGGTAACGCTCACAGTTCTGGTATTTACTTCGCGTATACTGCGAGGATTAGCTCAAATTTGATACTGTTAGAAAAGTTGTTTTGTTTAGTTTTGTTCACACTGTTAGAAAAGTCGTGAAAAGTGAACACGAATCGTTAGCTAAAGTGTTATCTTATGGCCAACCTTCTAACGTCGCGTTAGCAGTTTATATGAAATGCCAAGAACTTCGAACTCCTGTTATTCAAAAAGTCCTCGAGCTTGTCTCGAAAGAAATTACTGGGCTATGCTCTAGAGCGCCAATATTTTATTCCTTTGAGCGATTTCCCATATCCAGTAGGCAGATTTTCAAAGAAATCATGTTTTTCTTGTAAAATCTTTCGTATGGCGTCTTTCTGTTGATAATTAAACTGTTTGATGCGAAATTTCTTAGCTGCTACCTCGAATACTTCCTCTAACGACGCATCTTATTTTCCATATGGCGCGAATGGTTCCTGGATTTCGAGAACTAAAGCCGTGATTGGTTAATTCATAGGAAAGGAATGTTGTGCTCGGGTAAGCAGCCGCTCTACTCAGGGGAGAAAACGTTGCGTGACGACACTGAAAGCGGCTGTGGGGGAGACTATCTTTTATTCGGCACTTTTCAGCATCAATAACACATAAAATGTAGCTCCACTGTCCTTCGCATCACCTTTTCCCTTGGCTGGGAGTGAGATTTCATCAGATCGACAGCAACAGAATCAAGTAAGTTGTTCTCAATTGATGGGCTGCAAGCATATTCCCAAGAGAGTCAAAAGACAAAAGATGGCGCTTATTTTGGTGCCGTTATCATACGAGTTATTCTCGTTTATTCCAGCAGTACAGTACGTGCTGTTCTTGATTTTTAATATCTTACATGATACTTTGAAGTTTTGATTAAAATTAGAGTTCACATAAGGAATATTTTACGAATTTTAAGAAAAAATTGCGTTGAGTTGTGAGCGTTTTAGCGTTTGTTTTAGCTGGCATTCGGGGGCTTGGTCTATAATCCGGAATTTGGAATCCGGAACCCCAAAAAAATACACGAAAAATACTTCGGAATCACCAAACACTAACATGTTACAACCTTTATCGAATGTAAGCTAGAATCTTTACCTTCTATGCCCTACAAGGTCTGTTTTGACATTATTTAACAATTTAATATTCGTCTTTTACAACTAGTTTCCTTATTAAAAAGGCGAATATATCAGGTAATATTTAACGAGACGTGAGTCTGTGCTTTATGATTTGCTGGTTGCATTGAGGAGTCCTAACACTCTTGTTGTTATCACACATATTCTAGAATAATGTACTACCAAGAGAAAGATCTAGAAAGCTTTAGACATAGATAACTTCCATGCCTAAAGTCATGTATAAGTTCACATCCCGGAAAGTTCTAGAAAATCGTTAAAGCATAGGTATGATGTAAGTTACTAAAAATAGCAACAAATAGAACATTCCATTCAACAATTGTTTCACCTATGCAATGATTCGCCTACTGAAGTTCACCTATACATATCAATTGCATTGTAAAACCTATCTATGAATGGTGAGACAATAAATATACTGTTAAAAAGGGAAAATATTAATATTTACTATTTAATTATAATTAGTAAAAATACTAAATATGAAATATTAACCAGAGAGCTAGATTAAGGCAAAAGTCCACCCCAGCAAATTATGTTACAGTTTAAAATAATTATTCGACTGATGTTTAGAGTGCAATTAATTAATCTGTGAAACACTAATTGCTAAATAGTACAAAATAGTGCTAATTAAACAATAGAAAACAATGGAATTTGTATGAAATTGTGCTATTTAGTATTACACCTTTTGCTGTTCATTAACCGCAAAGGAATATTCATTGAAGCGAAGAAGCATTTTCATTAGAGCAAACAGGCATACAATATGGCAAACGGAGTCTCAATAGTGCGATGGAACTTTCATTAAGAAATTTAGCATTGAATTTGACAATCATGAATATGTTTGTGTGGGTTCATTAATGTTTTCAAACTTTCATTAGCGTTTTGGTGCAGACAATAAACCACAACATACATTCAATACACGCAATACTTATGGATTAAATAAAAGTCTTTTTTTAATGTGAATTGAGTTGAAAAAAAGTGGCATTATTTAATTGTCATTATAAAATAACTGTTATGAATTGTCGCGTTCTGATTGGTTTGGAGCGTGTGCTTTATGAGAGCACATTGCACGCGCGCGCACTTTCCGTTGCGTCATTCCTAGTTATTATTGTACTTTGTATTTTATAAAAGAAACAAAAAACTTGCTTGCTGTGCTGTGTGCAGTCATAAAGCACTTGGGGATTGGCAGAACACTCGAGAAGTGTCCAGAAGCACTCCGCTACGCGTCGTGCTTCTCCTAACACTTCTCTAGTGTTCTGCAAAACCCCGCGTCATTTATGATAACACACAGCATGCGCGCGCCTTTTCTATTTCTTCAATAAAACCTCCTCAATAAATTGTCCGCAGTGGTCACTGTTTTACATTCTTTGCTAAAAATACAGTGCCTCTCAATGACATTGAAAGGCAACACAACCGTTGTATATTGATAATATATAATATGAAATAAATTTGTAGAGGATATTCTTTTACAATTTTACATGTTTTTTTATCAATGTAAGATAGCAACCTTTGGTTCTTTGGTCCACAGGCAGCCCAAGCTGGTCCTTTATCACTGCATAGCAGAGGTAGCTAGAGCAAAAAAAAAAAAAAGAAGAAATATCTGTTTGAATAAACCAAATCACTGGCTGGTGTATCAAGCTCATCACTTCCAATGGGTATGTATGGAACTAGTAAATTTATCATCCTAATAGGTGATGGGATTATCATTTTTTAAATCAGCGTTTTGGGGAAGAAAAAGATGTCTTTGAGCATGAGAGCTGCATGGTTGCCATTGACTTTAAACTTAACTTTAAACTTAAGTTTATTCAAATGTATTGAAAATAATTGATTTTATTATACATTTTACAAGTATCTCAATTCTGATTTGACTCCGACGAAGGACTAGCATCCGAAACGTCAGCAAGTTTTTTCATCTTTTTACGGTGTATGATTTATCTTTTCATAATTACTGTTTCAATTCTGATTGGTCGAGAGCCCTCAGCCAATCCCTGATATCATGTGAACTCGACATAATAAATATATTATCTGTAAAGATATGAATATATTCTATATCTTCATGTATTATCTGTAAGTTTTTTCTACAGATAATACATTTGTCATGTCAAGTTAATTCAAGGTCACGCTTAATATCCTCATGCTTTGTTTCGCTTTCCGAAGAAAAAATAAAAAATCTCTTTGAAGGAAAAGATTCGAAAAATATGAAAAGGTCAACAAAAGGGAGCTATAAAGTCTTCAGCAAATACCTAAAAAAAAAATTTTTTTCACGCGACATCATGGCGTTCATAATTCTTGTCACTATAAGTTAATGTTCGTGTTAACGTTTTTCCAGTATACAAAATGTATAATAAAGCATTTCGGCTGCGGCAGATAACACATCCTCGGTCTTGATAATTTACGATATCATGCTCAACCTCATCCAATAATTGCTTAATATATTGAATGAAGTAGAGGAAATAAGGTTAATGTGTGGTGGGCAAAGTAGTATCCACCTTAGTTGTATGTTTTACTAAATATATAAATATGGATAATTGACACAGATAGATAGACAACTCAAAGATGATTGAGTATTTCTCAATTACTCAACATTGTCAAAAAATTCCTCTAAATGATAATTTGAAGGCATTTTTTTTCACAATTTCACATAATAGATCAAACATGTGAAAGAGTGAATAAATTAAAGTGAGTTAAAAGAATGAGACAGCAGAAAGATTTTTAATCAACTTAGTTTGATATGGCTTCTCAAATTATTAATAATTCTTAGAAATTCAAAACATGAGTTGCCCAAATTTCATAAATGATTTTATTTGTTTTTTTATCATAAAATATTTAATGAGTTTGTTAAATATTAGAAAATATGTATATTTAATCCTCTTGAGTACAACTCAAGTACACTGCTTGGCCGGCTGCCTGTGGATTATATTATATTATTATTAGTATAAATACACAGGTGATTATTGAAAAATCTTGTGCGCTGATTGGTCGAGAAACTCAGATTATCACACGATAATCACCTCCAGCGATAATCCAAAATGGCGGCCAGCTGCTTTGTTGTTTTAAATGTGTCTTTTATCTTGTTTTTTTCATTTTTTTTTGAAAGAATCACCTGTGTATTTATACTAAAACAATTATTCACCTCAAGCTCAGTGAATATTGGAAATAATAACCTCAACTTCGTAATCGGTTGTTATTCCCCGATATTCACTTCGCCTTCGGCGAATAATTGTTACATATTATTATCCGTTGACTCCTAAATCTTTGGCCTCTCTTTACTCTATAAAGTTAAAATTATGTATTTCATTCGCGCATGTCCTTGGTTAAGCATCTGGAAGATCTCATGTGCCCCAACTGTCGCTATTCTATAAACTGTAACTGTTGTTCGCACCAAAAGCCTATAAATAATTATTGGAAAAATTCTTGATATATTATATTTGAAACCATTCTATTGTATTTATTCTATATATTATATATTTAATAATTCCCGTTGTATTTATGTTTCTAACCAATATCGAAGTATTTATTGTATATATCATTTAATAATGTTATATTGTACATCCATTTCTATTTATTTTCTGGAGGACCGTAAGTTAGAAAACTGTAAAAGGTTATTGCGTTTCCCTTTCGAAATAAAGTTATTGGATTGGATTGGATCGGATCGGATTGGATTGTTCATTTTACATCGTACATTGAGATGACATGCCTTGATTCCTTTGTTGGGATGATTTATCCAATCCAATCCAGTCCGATCCAATAAACATTCTTCATGTACAATTAGATACTGTTGCAGTCAGACAGGACAGGAAAATCATTATAATAAAACGATCTGATATGTATGTCTCATTCTTCATCTTAGATTAAATCAGCAGCGTATAATACATACAACAAAGCCTGTATTCCGTGCAAGTATGTCTAGTTGGCCTACAGAAACGCCGGAAAAAGTTAACTACACCAAACTCTGCAGGCTTCTTTACGATGGAGGAACAAAAGCAGCAAGGTCTGTGTTAGATACAAAGATTCCTCCTCCTACTTTAGCGACTGAGCTAAACAAATTCAATTCCATACTAGTAAAACTCAAGAAGCCCAAGGGAAGAGTACTGGATCCAAACCAATGGGACAAACTATACCCATCAAGTGGTGCCATCCCCAAATCTGAGGACTTCGACATCACCTTATTGTTCGTTCTGTTGAGGAACATTTGTGGACTTACAAAACCACTCACTGGTTGGGACACCCTGCCACCACCGGCAGATAAAACACTAGAGGCAGAACTAATCAGGATAAAGTTCTACAGGAATGAGGTCATAGCACACAGCTCAAGTGCTGAAATTGGTAAAGTCCAGTTTGAGGATTACTGGAAAAAGATTTCATCAGCTCTTGTATCACTGGGTCTAAAGCAGGATGACATCGATGACTTAAAGTCCTCTCCAATTGGAACTGAAAACTACAACAACTTAGTTTATGAATGGCATTTGTATGACAAAGAAATAAAAGAGCAACTTGAAGAGATCAAATCAGACACAAAAGCGATTAAATTGGACACAGCAGAGGTGAAGTCAACCGTAACCAACATCGAGTCAGGTATTGCAGATATTCAATCCAGGCTACCATATTCGACTTCATTCTCAAATATTRATAACCTTTTTCATCATGACTTCAGTAACTTAATTCGCTCATTGAGTAATTCTTATCATCCCGATACACGTCAGTGGATATTTGACCRAGTGAAGTCACATGTGGAAAGCAGAGAGTCATACCCAATAATGGTGATTCAGGCGGGGCCTGGAATGGGGAAATCAGTGGTCACTGCTAAAATTTGTGAAACATACAAAGTGCAAGGCATTCTTGGTGGTTGCCATTTCTTTCAACACGACAACTTTCTAGTAAACAACCCAAGGTTGATGTTCCATTCTATTGCAAGGCAACTCTGTGACTCAGTTCCTGGTTATCAAGAAGCTTTGCAAAAAAAACTTCAACCACATTTTCAAGGAGGGAATCTCTCAGATTTMACATGTGAGGAACTATTCACTGAATTATTTSAACCATGTTGTAATATWACATCAATGAACAATGTACTGATTGTCATTGATGCYCTTGATGAGTGTTGTAATACTTTGAAAAGGGAATTTTACAAAGTTCTTACGAAAAGATTTTCTTGTTTGCCAAGTTGGTTACGTTTCGTTATTTCCTCAAGACCACCACCAAGTATTTCTGCATTGGAGAGGTTCACCCCTGTCATCGATATTGATCCAGAGAATGAGCGAAATAAACGTGATCTTCAGTGCTTCTTCAGTGACAAATTGAAAGAACTGAGACAAGTTTCTACYAGTGAATCTTCCAATGAAATTCTTGAACTTGTTCATTTGACTGAAGGCTTATTTTTGGTAGCTTTTTTTGTCATTGATTTCTTGAAAACTAAAAACATTACGTCACTACAAGAAGCATTGGAACACTTTCCCAAGGGCAAAGGAATCGCTTCCGTGTATGATGATTATTTCTCTAGACTAAGGAAAGAACTCGTACCACACYTGAATGRTGAAGAGGGGTTTTTCAAGATGCTGGATGCTGTGGTCGCGGCCGAGTTCCCTATCGAGATAAAGATTTTCTACAAAATCCTTGGCCTTAGCGAGGAGCCTAGAATACCAAACAGAGAGAGAAAGGAAGCCATTCACCTTCTTCACCAGTTGTTCCCAGTAGAGAATGATCACGTGTCGGTATTTCATAAGACTGTCATTGACTGGGTAACAACTGGAGACCATGACTTCAAAGTAAAAGGTGACGGTAGTGGAATTCTTGGTAATGTTTGCTATATAGTCTTGGATGATATAAGGCAAGGTTCTAAAGAACTAAATAAGCCACTCACTTTGACAGACAGTGAGACGTATGCCTTGGAGTATGGATTTGGTTACATGAGTGAAGAGAAAAGGCTGGAAACTCAGACAAACTGTTTTGTGTTCTGCTCACAAGCATTGAATGTTGCTAGAAGAATTTATGAAAATAATCTCAGCCATTTACGACTAAGTTGGCCATCTCTTTCTGAAGAGCTTAGGGATGTTTATAACCAAGTTATCGTCAATTTTCATGAATATCACCTTAAACATCGATCAAGTTGCCGTTTTCATGATCTAACAAACTTTGGTCAATGTTTGGCGTTTGCTCTTCAGGCTTTTAACCTGTTAAAAATAGATCAAATAACACCAAACCCTCGTGCCCTCCTCAATGAAAGAAAACTTCCATATCTTGAACGAAATGAGTTGTTCAGAGAAAAGGAGGGAACTGATCCTGATTCTATAGAGTTTCTAGTTGCTAATGATGGATTCTTTCTTGTAAAGTATTTGGACCAACAAACCTTAGTACAGCAATGCCAGCTTGATGGGACGCTTGTCAACGAAGAAAGATTTGAGGGGAAGAAGAAGATACTCATGTCTCCTGGCTATGAATTTGTTGCTGTTACGCCAGTACGTGCAAGTGAAAACATCGATATCTTTGATGCTACAACTCTACGAAAACGCACAAGCTTTAAGCCACCATATTTGATAAGATCATGTCATGTATTCGGTAACAGTCAGTCCTGGTTCATCGTTACAAGATGCTTAAACAATAAGATATATATAATGAAAGGAGAAACAGGCGAACAAGTTGGTCATCCTATCGTTGCGCAACAAGACGATGAGATTCTGGCTGTCAGCAATGCTGGTCATATTCTGATAGAAAGAACGCATATTTCTCTTATAGGAAAGAATGTGGAAACTGAAGGTTTTACTGATGCTGATGAAAACGTTTGTGTCCCTATGGTACCTACAGGCGAGCTAAGATCTAAAGAACCAAATCGTATTCGCCTTGGCTATGGCTTAACCCAAGGATTGCCATTGTCATATAATAGATCGCGAGAACTGTTTCTCTGTGATCACAATAAACTGGACCAGAAAATCCCTATCTACGTACGAATACGAGCTCCTGTTTGGAGATATGAAGAGCTTCAACGTTTAATTTTCGAACCAGCAGATTCCTTGAAATCGTTTGGCCAACCAGTGTGTTTTTCTGATGAAGGAAATCTCTTAGCTTTCTATTACCGTGGTGTCATAACAATTGTACACACATCCGACGGTTCTTTTTACAAAAGCATTGATACACGTCCATATCCAGTGACCCGTATCATAAACATCTTATTCTTGTCGCAGGAAAGAATTTTCCTACAAGATGAAAGAAAAGTCTTTCTTTTCAAGATTGGAACAGGAAGAGAAGTTGTTCTGGAACACATGCTCTTTCTTCAACCTAACACCGAGTTTTGTCGGTTATCAAGCACCATCATTCAAGAAAACATGAAAACCATTTTATATGCGAAAAGAGTACCTATTTTTCCACCTTGGACCAAACCTGATAGAGCTAAGTATCTCTACTTTGAAAAGTATGAATTTCATAATCTGCATTAGATTTCTTACCTAGACTGCATATCATGTATTTCACAATTCTCTAAGACTAGCGGAATACAGTCGTACGCTCACAATACTTCTATATCAATATCCGATGCATTACGGTTTTGTATGTATTGGTTTTCCTGTCGAGTTACACCACAAAGACTCAAAGAAAGTATATACCAGACTGAAGGAGTGCATGGGATAGATTGAGTAGAGAGTTTTGTTATCTAAGATAGGTATCAGTCATGTAGTGAAGGTGGTCTAACCCACCACGTGTATAACAGTAGGTATTGCACGGGATAGATTGAGTGGGGAGTATCGTTATCTAAGATAAACTTAGTCATGTAGACAAGGTGGTCTAACCCCAACACGTGTATAACAGTAGGTATTGCACGGGATAGATTGAGTGGGGAGTATCGTTATCTAAGATAAACTTAGTCATGTAGTCAAGGAGGTCTAACTCCAACACGTGTATAACCGTAGGTATTGCACGGGATAGATTGAGTGGGGAGTATCGTTATCTAAGATAAACTTAGTCATGTAGTCAAGGTGGTCTAACCCCAACACGTGTATAACAGTAGGTATTGCACGGGATAGATTGAGTGGGGAGTATCGTTATCTAAGATAACCTTAGTCATGTAGTCAAGGTGGTCTAACCCCAACACGTGTATAACAGTAGGTATTGCACGGGATAGATTGAGTAGAGAGTATCGTTATCTAAGATAAACTTAGTCGTGTAGTCAAGGTGGTCTAACCCCAGCATGTTTAGTGATGTAATTAATGTATCGAATAAATCATTAAAGATTAGTCTTAAGTTATGAAATTTGAACTGATTATTTTACTGTTGTTCAGTCGGTTCATACCTCAACCAAACGTGTCTGATCCTGAGGGAAGTTGTCAAATGAAGTGCGGTAGAATGTCACTTTGAAGGCAATAAATGTTTTTGTCTTTCCCAAACAGGCAATTCTACAAACGTTTTCGAAAAGTACCTTTATTTGGCTTTCAGAAAATGTATACCTTTATGGAAAAATATTGTCATGTATTATAGCGCGTATTGTATTGTAGCGCGTACGGGGTACAAATCCCCTTCTGATCGGCCTTAAACGTACTATCTGCGTGGAAATTGAAATGTTGACTATAGGACAAATGGCATTAAATATAAAATCGAATATTTTACATCGATTTGTATGGGAAAAGTGTTGGCTGGTAAGCTTTTGCTGCCCAGTGCATTTTCCCATTAGAAATCCTTATAAAACATTCAATTTTATATCTAATGCCATTTCTCCTGTTTCACTTACTATGAGCTGAAACTCCGCCTAATTTTCCCAGAAAGATCACTTATTCTACTAACTTTTTCCGATTGAAATTCTGCGGGCACTTGTTTCGTGTTGCGAATGAAGAGCTTCTTTCTTACCACTACACCTCCCTAACCCTCTCATTAATCGCCACTCCCTATGAAGCTACTGAGATGTATAGGGGTGCACCTCTCACCACCACACCTTCCTTACCCTCTCATTAACCACCACTCCCTATGAAGCTACTGAGATGTATAGGGGTACACCTCTCGCCACCACACCTTCCTTACCCTCTCATTAACCACCACTCCCCATGAAGCTACTGAGATGTATAGGGGTGCACCTCTCGCCACCACAC